CTGGTTAGTCTTTGGTGCATCTAGCTACTCTTGTAACAGGGTCTCAAGTGTGTCTTCCTATTAGTAGCCTAATTAGGCATTAGAGGCCACCATGAGTGCATATTATTCTTGGAGTTCTCCTTCATAATTCTTTTCCTTTCACTATTCAGAAAATTGACTGCCTTTCCAGGATAGTAAGTGGTAGCTCCTCTTATTCCTGCTCTTAAGCATTTTTTATGTTGCTGGGTACCTATATATATTCATATTACCAGGAAGGAATGACTCTCCTATTCTTCCTGCTTCCTTGTATAGAAACTATTTAAGGGATGCCTTCCAAAATCAGCTTATTGTTTTTATGGTCCCAAGATCTTTAGGTAGCTAACCTAGTGCCCATCTGTTGGAAAGGGTATAGTTAAAGTCAGTTATGATCCAGATACTTGATCTGTATCCTATCCTGCAGGGCATGGCTTTTCTCCACAACAGCATTATTTCATCTCATGGAAGTCTCAAGTCCTCCAACTGTGTGGTGGATAGTCGTTTTGTGCTCAAAATCACAGACTATGGCTTGGCCAGCTTCCGATCAACTGCTGAACCTGATGATAGCCACGCCCTCTATGCCAGTGAGGCCTGCCCCATAATGCACTTTTTACACTGCTCCTCTGGCCTTGATCAGTTCCACTTAGGGAGGGTGGGAGAGGGAGACAAGTTACAGTAATAAATGAGTGGGTGGGGGTACCCTATTTGGGGGACCTGGCTAGCTTGTTTCCTCTTTTCAGAGAAGCTGTGGACTGCCCCAGAACTGCTCAGTGGGAACTCCTTGCCAACCACAGGCATGCAAAAGGCTGATGTCTACAGCTTCGGGATCATCCTGCAGGAGATAGCACTTCGCAGTGGTCCATTCTACTTGGAGGGCCTAGACCTCAGCCCCAAAGGTGAGAGTTGATCTGCTATCCATAGTCTTTTCTTCCTTGGGGGACTCTGTTCTTCATCCAAACCTTTTATCACCCTCAGAGATTGTCCAGAAGGTAAGAAATAGTCAGCGGCCATATTTCCGGCCAAGCATTGACAGAACCCAACTGAATGAAGAGCTAGTTTTGCTGATGGAGAGATGTTGGGCCCAGGATTCAGCTGAGCGACCGGACTTTGGACAGATCAAGGGTTTCATTCGCCGCTTTAACAAGTGAGAAGACACTAAAGGGATAGAAGCCTTATCAGGTCTTCATGGAAGAAGTGGGGCTGGTGGGTTGGATAGAAAGTCTGGGGAGTCTTGAGAATCTTGGAGCAGGTGACATATCCTGGCCTCCCTGCAGGGAAGGTGGCACCAGTATATTGGACAACCTCTTGCTACGCATGGAACAGTATGCCAATAACCTGGAGAAACTGGTGGAGGAACGCACACAGGCTTATCTCGAGGAAAAACGCAAGGCTGAAGCTCTGCTCTACCAAATTCTGCCCCAGTGAGAACTTTGTCCCCCTTCCTGAATTTTCCTTTCGGATTCAGCTGTTGAATTCTGCCTCAGTCTCCTGAAAGCCCACTTCCCAAGCCTCCAAACCTGTTTTGTTATATCTTGCCATAGTGAGCCCTCCTGGCTATAGACTAATTGCTTTCATTCTGTCTCCAAATGAGCTGGGCTCTTTCTGGGGTTTCTCATCCTTCCTCCTTAGGACACCGTTCTACCTTGCCTCTGCTTCAGCAAGTATATGTAAAATAATCCCAAATTGAAACACTGTGTCCCCACCACTTATGCACCTTACTATGTGCTAGACAATGTCTTCTCAACCACTTTCCTTTTCCTTCACCAACCCCAGCTTTCCCATTACAACTTAGCTCTGTCTGCTGCAGCCACATATTGCTTTCCTCTTTCCCTCTCCCACATCTTTCTTGGAATTTCGCTCACACTACACCCTTGTTCTCTAGTTCAGTGGCAGAGCAGTTAAAACGGGGAGAGACTGTACAGGCTGAGGCCTTTGACAGTGTTACCATCTACTTCAGTGATATCGTTGGCTTCACAGCATTGTCAGCTGAGAGCACCCCTATGCAGGTAAGAGCCATGTGTGAGAGGTAGTGTGTAGGATAGGGACCTGGGAGCTTCACTAATAGGGAAGACTAGTTCATTCTGGAGTTCCCATATTTTGTTAAGAGTTTGTAGCTTGAGAATGCTTAGAAAGTTGGGCATGAGCTTCAGGGCCTCTTCTATCTTCTTAGGTGGTGACACTTTTTAAATTATTTTAATTTAGGTGGTGACACTTCTTAATGATCTGTATACCTGTTTTGATGCCATAATTGACAACTTTGATGTCTACAAGGTGAGAGTTGGGGTTGCCTTCCTACTGAGACCCCTTTAAGGTCCAGGCTCCTGGAACCTCCCCACATAGATTACCCACTCCATGGTCAGTTTTCACTCTAGGGTCTCTAGAGTGCAATGCTGAAGTGCACTTCGTACATGGATGTGGCTCCAGGATTCTAATTGTACATTCAGGTCTAATAACTTGTGAACTCTTAAGCTTCTTTAATCAGAACCATCACAGACTTTAGTCTCTATCTCTCTGAGTATATAAATATTGCCTACCCATCTTCTCTTTTTCTCCTCCAGACATGGAACAATCCCTACAGGATATGGGTACAAATTGATTCAGTGGGGTGAGGGGCAAGTATGAATAATGTTGTAAGGCTTTTTGTTGAAGTCACCGACTTGGCAGAGAGTTAGCTTTATTGTCCTTGGGAGTGCAAATGAGCTGTATTTAAATATTGGCTTTATAGCTAGCTTTGTGGTCTTAGGTAAGTAACAGCACCTCCCTGATCCTTGGTGGTTTTAAGATGGGAATAATAGACTGAGTGCAGCAGTGCACACTTGTAATTCTGACTGTTTGGGAGGTTGAGGCAGAAGGATCACAAGTTCAAGGCCAGCCTGGGCAACTTAGTGAGACCCTGTCTCAAAATAAAAATAATAAAATAAAAGGACTAGGATATAGCTTAGTGGTAGAGAACCTTGGGTCCTGGGTTCAGTCTCCAGTATCAAGGAAAAAAAAAAAAAAAGGAATAAGAGATTGTATGGGAAGTGCCTAGCACTGTGTAGTGCATGGTAGATAATAAATATCCATTCCTGCCCCTTCCCTTTGGGTTTACTGATCTATAGTTTCTGTAACAAAGAACTCCCATCAGATACATCAGTTATTCTATCAATTGTTTCTATTTTCCTCTATTTTATTAAAAAATCTATTTATATAATTATTTTCTAAACCAAGAGTAAGTTTCAGATAGAGGACCAGTTTATCCCTAAATTCTTAGTGTGTATATCCTAAAAATTTCACAGCACATTTCCTAAAAATAAGAGCATTCTCTTGTATAACTTTGGTACAATTACTAAAATCAAGTGCCTGCTTTCTCACTGTCTGGCAATTTGGGTGGTCTGGCTCATGTCATTGGTCTGCTTTACCTTCTTGCCAGTCTTTGTGCTCTTCAGGTTAGCTCATTTTCTTGCTTTCCATTTCCTGGCAACAGGGCCTGTCTGTCCATGTCCTGTTGTGGAAAGGGTGTCTAGTCATTCAGCAAATGCTTACTGAGTATTTGCCAGGGTTTCTTGACTGCCCTTCTTCCCAGATTCTCAGGACTACAGCTTTTATTTTTTAGTTGAAATTTTGGCCTCCCAGGAGGTCAGGATGATGCCTGATACTGTCTAGCTTGTCTACAGGTACTTTTTCTCATTCCTACTGATACAGAGAGAAGTGATGTTTTAATCCCCCTCTAAATCAGGTGGAGACGATTGGGGATGCCTACATGGTGGTGTCTGGCCTCCCAGGCCGAAATGGTCAACGCCATGCACCAGAAATTGCCCGGATGGCCCTAGCGTTACTAGATGCAGTTTCTTCCTTCCGTATCCGCCACCGACCCCATGACCAGCTGAGGCTACGCATAGGGGTTCATACTGGTAAGACTAACTCTCACTCCAACCCTAGATGCCATGTTTCCCAGGCTCTCTCCAACCTGTTTCTTTTCATAGGGCCAGTCTGTGCTGGGGTTGTTGGCCTGAAGATGCCCCGCTATTGTCTTTTTGGAGATACAGTGAATACTGCTTCCCGAATGGAGTCTAATGGTCAAGGTGAGACATTAGCCTTCAACCCCAGCCTCAGCCTCACTCTGTCTTGCTCTCTTCTTTTCAGAGCTCCTCCAAATCTTCAATACAAGAGACCACAACTCCTAAGTGGCCCATCCTTGTGCACATTTTGGTTCTAGTGAATGTGTGTGCTGGGAGGACTGGGAGCCTCCTGGGGGGTGGTTGGTTGGGTAAGGTGCTCTTCAGCACTGTCAATTCTTCTATTTCCTTTTTCTTTGACTTTTTTTTTTCCTATCATACCCCATGCTACCCCAGCCCTGAAGATCCATGTCTCCTCTACCACCAAGGATGCCCTGGATGAGCTAGGATGTTTCCAGCTAGAGCTTCGGGGTGATGTGGAGATGAAGGTGATGGCAGGCCATGGGGAGGGGGTCATGGAAAGGGAGAATGAAAGTGATTATGTGGCTGGGGGTGAAGAGAGGGAGATCAAGGACTAACAGAAGAGTCTGAACCATGTTTACTCCCTCTGCTTCCAGGGAAAAGGAAAGATGCGAACTTATTGGCTCATAGGAGAGCGGAAAGGACCTCCTGGACTGCTGTAAACCCTACATCTTCCCAAGCTAGACAATCTCCTGCTTCTGGCACCTGGATGAGCAGTAGCCACCATCTCTCCATATACCAGAAACAGACGTTGTCACATGAGATGGAAAATGTGCACAAAAACCCCACCTTATATGGAAGTCATAGCCCTCTGCAGCTCAGTTTTGTACATATATCTGTCCTTCTCTGGTTTGGTCCCCTTCTTCCCTACCTCCTGTAAATATATATATCTAAACCAGAATATTTTGGCCAAATATAAAATAACAAGAAGTAGTAGTCATGGTGTCATAGTCTGGGGTAGGTAACTCCAAGGAAAGGTTATAGGGTATGCACACAGTGACTCACAGAATCAGTCAATTAACAGTCTCAGGATGAAGAACCTTTATGTAAAGCTCCTTCATCAAGTACAGAGGGAATTAACTTCCTTCTGCTCACCTCTCTGATATAAGCAGAAACAGATTCCAAATTCCATATCCAACTTCCCCCTTCAACTTTTACACAGGACCCATTCTGCCCCCTGGATGCCCCTGCCCTTCTCTCTGACAGGCAAGGGAAGACATTTCCCCTAATTGGTGGGGATAATTCTCAAGTTCATAGGGCAAAGGCTGACCCAGAGACAAGGGCACTGGTGTTGAGAAGCTGCAGTTCTTCCGGAACGGTGTGTCCAGTGTCCTGATGTTACTGACACCCTGGATCAATGCCAACATGATGACAGGTCCCTCTCCCCACAATAGACAGACTCTTCCCTGTCTTCTCTTCTCCATCCCCCCACACCTAGTCACTCTCACACACCGGTAACTGCGGTGCCCTCTGAATCCAGAAGCTTTCAGGCTGTTCCCGACGATAATCGTGAGGCTGTAGGGAGAAATACTGAATAATTGGACTTTGGTCCTTTCTCTCAACTTCTGGACTAGGAACTTTCCCACCACCTATCAATCAGAGCCCTGCTGTGCAAGTGGGGTAGGATGGGTTCTCACCTTCGTTGGGGCAGGAGGCCCTCCTTGCACCAGCTCCATTCTGTAGTCATGGTGTGTCACTGACTCCGCCTTAAAGGGCTTCTTTATGGGTTCCAGATCTGCCTGTACCTCTTTACTATGCAGCCCTGGGAGATGTCAAGGCCATTCTCCCCAGTTTTGCTCTTCCCCCTCCCCCTCCCCCTCCCCTAGTTTCTCACCAGATCTGGTGGTGCAGGAGCATCTCCACCATGGCTTCACGCTTCCCTGTGGGAGGGTGAAGTGGGAGTGTGATTACAAAGCAGGCCCCAAAAATTAAAAAAAAAAAAAAAAAAAAAAGAAAAGAAAAAGAAACAAATTTGAGAAAAGGAATGGGAATCTTAGATTTTGCCCTTATATCCATCACACAATCCACAGTCCCACCAGAAATTCCTTCCTCTTTTTTGTCTGCCTGATGGGCTCATTCTGGCTGTCATGCTTCACACCTTGAAGAGGCTGAGAAAGGTTTCTTGGGGGCTGGTATGAATCCTTCTGGGTGGTACTCGAGGGCATGGGTGAAGGTGGTTGGGTGGTCAGCAGTCCCTGGTGTCCATGTCGGAAGAAGAAACTCTCAGAGATATCCTGCCAGTTTGGAACTTGATCCAGGTGGTTTGTAGCTCTCTGTGGGCCGTAAGTTGAATGACTGTGATATCCCTTGTTATCTACCCTCATCACAAACTATTGGCTCCCCTAGAAACTTGGGTCAGCCTTCAAAAAAGAAAAGAAGGTCAAAACTTAATACCTCTTCCTCCCAGTTGTAGAGGAGGCACTGGCCCCGTGGCATTGTTTCATAGAGAAACTTAGGCTTCCCTCCATCTTCTCGGGTTTTCCACAGCCCTCGGGCACCAGGTTCTGAGACTTGCAAAGATTCCCAAGATGGTTGTTTCTGAGGATCCCAGTGGCAGTATTGATTCCAGGAGGCATAATTAGGAAAAAGATCTGGCCTAAGGTTTTTGAACCTTTGAGGAGTGCTGGGCCTGGGCTCAGGGCCAGGGCTAGAACCTGGACCAGCTCCAGAGGCAGGATCAGGACCTGAGGCAGGACCGAAGCCTTGGCCAGAGGTATGGCCACGACCAGTGTCAGAACGAGGGATAGTGGCAAGGCCAGAGGGAGGGATAGTGCCAGGGCCAGAGGGAGGGATAGTGCCAGGGCCAGAGGGAAGGATAGTGCCAGGGCCAGAGGGAGGGACAGTTCCAGGGCCAGGACCAGTGAGGAAGCCAGGGCTAGAGCCACTTCCAGGACCAGTGCCAGAACTAGGGACTAAACCACGGTCAGGAACAGAACTGGAGCCAGGGAAAGAACTATAGCCACGGAAGCCAGGACTGGGGACAGGGCTGGAGCTGGAACCAGTTAAAGGGTCAGAGCTGAAGCCAGGAACAGGAGCAGCGCTAGAGCTAAGGTCAGTTGTAGTATAGGGATGCCTAGCAGTAGAGGAAACATAGTCAGGGTCAAAGCCAAGACTTTCACGGCCTATTTGTGGGGTTCCAGCATAGACCGCCCCAAGAAAATTGTCAGAGGAGGGCTCTGTGAACCTAGAATAGGGTGCTGGGGTCTCTGTAAATAATGCAGCTGCTCTGGCGGAGGCGGCGGCTGCGGCAGCTGATGCAGTGGTTGCGGATGCCAGGGCTGATGCATGGCCATGTGAAGAAAGAAACGGTTCCGAAACAGTCCCTAGTTCTTCGGCGCAGGGTTGTACTTCTAAAGATCTAAAAGAAAACAAAAGCGTCAAGGTATCAAAAGCCCAGCAGAGGAAGTCCGCTGACCTTTCTTGTCCCTTTTCACTTGCAGCCAGAGCTGTGGCTCTCACCGCGACGGCGATCCCTCTGTAGATTCGTTGGGCTCCATCTTCAGGCTTCAGCTACACGGTTGCCATAGAGACAGCAAAAAATTCCAAGAGACTGCGCAGAACTAAAGCTGGGCGGAAGTGGAGGGAAGAGGTGGAGGCAAGTCCTCTGAGGGGCGGAAGTCTTAAGCTGGGTGCGCTCTCCGTTTTCTGGTTCCGACTCCATGCTGCCTCAGACGCGGTTTTAAGGTTCCATTAGCCTGAGACCTCGACTTCCCTGTTCAAGCCTGATTCTTTGCGGCTAAGGTGATTCTTTATGGGGATACCTTGGAGACTGGCATAGGACCGTGGCATCGGACAAACGCCTAGTTGATGTGTTGTGGAGGACCAATAGTAGCTTCCTCTTAATTTGCTTGGTTCATTCTCAAAAGTGAGGAGTGAGGAGGCTTTAAAATTGTTTTTAAGGATGAAAATATATAAAACAGTTAAAGAGCAAAACAGAGAACATATGGAGCAGCATATAGCTAACAGCTGGTGTGTTCGTGTGTGTATGTTACTACTTTTCAAATATTAGGCCCTTATATTGACTACCTTCCTCCCAATTCCCTTTTGAACCTGGTTGGGCCTCTGAATGAAGTCCAGGATTACACCTGGGTTTCAGTCTCTTTCTACTCATTCAGGCTCATTCCTACTGCTACTTTTCTAAAGTTTGACCCAGGGCAGATTACTAGTCATGAGGCATATCTACAGGCAGGTGCTTTTTTTGACCACACAGTGGGCTTCCTCAGTGTCTCTTACTTTGATCATTGTCAAAGGAGCACACAGCAGAATCACTCTTCTTTCCCCTTTGTGGTATAAATCCTTTTTATTAAAGACAGGCATGCAAAAGTGAGGGAGAACAGGTTTATTAGCATCACAGGGTTCCTTTTCCCATCCAAACATCCAGATCTGAGTTTCTTGGGTCAGTTGGCAGGTTCAACCTGGAGGCCACTGGAGCTGCCGGCCTCCAAGTACGTGAATGTGAAGGTGATATACAGATTGTGCTCCCAGCTTTCCATCATTGATCACTGAAATAGAGCTTGAAGTTAGGGGGTCAGGATTATGGGAGAGGTCAAAGAATGAAGATCATATTGAGGAGCAGGAATTCATAGATGAGGGACCCATGGGCCAAGTCACTCACCAAGTCGGTATCCATCTCCCAGGCCCTCAGCTTTTGCTGTTTTCTTGGCTACAAGGAGAAGGTGTCCTAGAAGCTATAGGGAGAAGGGAGGGACATAGTTGTCTTTATTCACAGAGGGCAAAACCTCTAGCTTTACCAGGGCTCTTCCCACAACAACTCCTGGCCTTGTTCTTCCCACCTGCTGGTCTTCTTCTTCAGCCTGGCTAATACGAGGAATGGGCTTCTTAGGAATGACCAGAAAATGCACAGGAGCTTGAGGGGCCACATCACGGAACACCAGACACTGGGAGCAATGACAGGCCAGAGACAATCACATTAGTTTATCAGGCTAGCTGTATCTATGAAATTCCTAAGGGGTTTGGTTCCCACCTGTTGGTCCTCATATAGAATGTCAGCTGGAAGGCTTCTGTCCAGGATCCGGGAAAAGATGGTTGGAGCTGCTCCTCCAGGAGCTGCCTGCTGGGCCTTAGCCACTTCATTCCCATTTATCATACCTGCAGCTCCTCGGACCTGCAGGAGAATCAGATACACCCAAGGGAGGGAACTGGCAATAACTCTTCCATGTACTCAGTTGGAGCTGGCAGAGTTGTGCTTTGATAGTTATCAACCTATTACATGCTGGTATTCCATATGTAGGGTGTGTGTGTGTGTTTGTGTGTATGTATATATGTATATGTGTATGTATGTATGTGTGTGTGTGTGTATATATATATATATATATATATATATATATATATATATATATAAATGACTATGAGACACTGGGACATAACTGGCAATATTATGCAAGATTCAGGAGTGCAATTGATTCCTGCTAATGTGTGTATAAAATCTAACATGTGCAGGGAAAAGGATCCAAAATGAGAGTCTCAAGATTTATGTCTCAGTTCCTGTTCTAACACTGAATTACCTCAGAAAAATTTCTTCTGTAGCTTCATATAAAAAGGGGCGGTTTGTATTATCTCAACACAGCTTGAAGGTCTGTATACTCCCACCTTGTTAGTATGTGTTCACTTATTTCCATTACTTGTTTTCTGATATTTAAGCCTGGTTACCTGTTTATTTAGGTTTTAATGCATATGTCCTGTTTGACTCTAGCTCTTTCTCATTTGGGTGTCATGTCTGATCTCTTACGTGGATTTTAACTCTAGTAACTTACATCAGTGGAATTACATATTAATTTAGCCAGGCAGTGGTGCACACATGTAATCCCAGAGGCTTGGGAGGCTGAGGCAGGAGGATTTCGAGTTCTAAGCCAGCCTCAGCAATTTAGCAACTTAGTGAGACCCTGTCTCTGAATAAAATACAAAAAAGGGCTGGGATGTGGCTCAGTGGTTGAGTGTCCCTGGATGGTTCATTCCCCAGTACCAAAAATATATAAATAAAATAAATTAAAATAAAAAATAAATAAATCAGCTAAATGAACTCAGTCCTCCCCCAGTTATCCAGGAGGAAGAGATATACCTGTTTCCCATGGACTCAGAGAAAAATAAAGTCAGTGCGTCATAATGGGGGAGAAAAGAACTGGACGAATTAGGCTCTTGACTCCCGAGTTGCTACTGCAAAGTGGGGAAGATCAAAGGTTAACACCTTTGTTTATTAGAAGGCCCAAGGGAGCAGGCAGAGGACTTGCTCTGAGAGACCTCACTTTCTACTGAGGGAACTGAGGTGACCGGCCAGCTGGGCTTCAGACAATGGAGGGCAGCAGCTGCTGCATTGACCCCGTCCTGACCTCGGAGCCAGGGCCTGTGCGGGGAGGCGGTGATCGCTAGTTCGCTACACCCGCAGCCATCAAGTCCGACCTCACCGCACAATCCTAGAGCTTGATCCTCGGAAAGGGCAGTGGCTCTGCAAGGCTGCTGGGTTGCTTGCGCCGTGGCTCCCGCCACAGAGGGCGTCAGAAACTGAGGAAGTCCCTCCTTGTCCCCGCGGACACTTCTCACCTGCACCCCCCGGGGCCCAGAGGCCGCCAAGGCTCTGCTCGCCGCGCGCAAGCTGGCGGCTAGCACCACCGCAGCAGCCATCCTCCCGGAGCTGCGGGAACCGCTCACTCGTCCCGCACTCTGCGGCCTACGGAAGGTGGGCAGTCGGAGAGGGAGAGCTGGGGTCATTGGCCCCTTCCGCGGCCGGGGGCGGGCCTGGCCACCTCCATTGGATCGCGGTTCCGGGCGCTACTCAAGCCATTGGCTCCGCTGCCACTTTAGAGGCGGAATCTTTTCATCCAATTGGCTGCATCTTCCAACGCAGGGCCAATTCCCACTCCATTGGCTTCGTCTTTTAGCGTAAAAGTTCCTTCTTGAGTGTTGTCTCTGATTTCGCTACGAGATAAATTTCCAAGGATTAAGAAACTTGGAGGTGTAATTTTTCACCTAGTTGGCTTTGACTCACAGCCATAGCTCGGTTTAGGTTAGGGACCCCGAGCTTTCACGTTCCCGGCTAGTCCTTCTCAGTTCTGGCCCCTACTGGTGGGCTGGAGGAAGGGGGCGGGCTCCGTCAGTTGCTGCACAAAGGTTTAAACGTACTTTGGATCCTTTCACTGTTTTGGCTAGGCGGCGGGCAAGGTTCTGAGGGCATTAGGTACATGTGGTTCCAGGAATCACCTGGGTGGGGCTAAAGATGAACCGGAAGGGGGTCTTTCTAATTGGTGGTGTTGATACCCAGCATTTTCTCCACACGGGCGGTTTCAGTCACTTGACCATTTCAGAGATTTTTTTGTGTGTGTGATACTGGGATTGCACCCAGAGCCTCAGGCACACTAGGCAGGCGCTCTACCACTGAAGTACGTCCCCAGCGCCCCTCACCTTTTGGGGATAATTATTTTCAGATTTTGAGACTGGGTCTTGCTAAATTGCCTAAGCAGTCCTCAAACTTGGGATCCTCCTGCTTCAGCCTTCCAAGATCACAGGCTTGGGTCACCGCGCAGGAACCATTTGGAAGATTTTAAAAGGCAATTCATTCTTGTGTTCTCATTAACACATTCACACCATAAATTATTTCCAGGTCAGTTTTTTTTTTAATTGGTTTTAGATATATATGACAGTAGTGTGTGTGTGTGTTTTATATATATATATATATATATATATATATATATATAAAAATTATATATATATATATATATATATATATAAATTATATATATATATAAATTATATATATATAAAAATTATATATATATATAAATTTTTTTTAATCGGGTGAAGATGGGAACGTCCTACCTTTACTGCACCAAAAAGCAAAGGAATATGCATCTAATGTTCTTTTCTAATCAAGAGTATGATATAGTTAGCTCAGGAGTTTTCAGGGAAACATGTTCACTCTGCTGGAGTTCATACTTTTGATATAAGAAACATCGTGTCACGAAAATACTCAAGACAGGGTGAATTTAGTCTGAAGTTTAACACAGGATAAATCTCCACTGTTTTTCTTTTTTAAAAAAGCACATGACCTGCCACATACAGGAGCTTAATAACTGTTTGTTGAATTAATCAAATTTGGTGTTACATTTTTTTTATAATATATGGCATATTATTCTCCCATCAATTTTTCAAATTATTACATAGGCTATGTCAATATATCAGGTAATGGGGCTGCATACTATTTCCTTAATGAGTTTACCATAGCACTCTGTAGCTGACTTTTAAATGAATTAGTTTTAGATGAATGGTTATCAAGGAGCATATAATCAGTATTGGAAAATTCTTCTAGAGTTAGTACAGTCTCCTTTTCTTTAAAGTTGTGTTGCTGGGGCTTTATGCCTGCTATACAAGGCTCAATCACTGAACTACATCCCTAACCCTACCGGATCTCTTTTATATAACTATATTATTGTTAGAAAGTCCATTGTTCTCCAAAGGGCAGACATTTTTTTTTTTAAATTTACTTTTTAGTTTTCGGTGAACACAACATCTTTATTTTATTTTTATGTGGTGCTGAGGATTGAACCTAGTGCCCGCGCATGCCAGGCGTGCCAGGTGAGCAGGCTATGCTTGAGCCACGTCCCCAGCCCCAGGGCAGACATTTGATCCTGTGATGTTCCCTAGGGGTCTTAGTAGTCTAGGCTGTATTCCTTCCCTTGGTAGGACAGACGACCTCCCTAAATGTGAGGAAATGTAGAATGACCTCTTCTCTGTATCCCAGAGGCTTCCTTTCTCTATGCTTCTGGGACACCTGAAGACCTTAAAACTCCCTGGAGAAGGCAAGAGAACTGAGATCTAGAAGAGGAAGGAAACCAGCCTGGAGGGATAGTGAATACAAAGCTTGTTAAAACTGGTTATTTCCTTGGGTTTTCACAGAGAACAACACTGGTTAATCCTGTTTTACAGATCCAGAAACCAAGGCCCAAAGTGGGGAAGTTCTTCTCTAGAGGCACAGAGCTCCATCAGTGTCAGGCTTTCCAACTCCTGGAAGAATTACCTATCAACTTCCTTGTTACTCCCCCAAATTCACTGTTTTTTCACAGTTTTCTCTATTCTAAGTCCTTGTTATCACCTACAGCTGTTCTCATGTGAAAGCTGTAATGCTTTGCAGGCTCTGATTGTTGTCTCCTTAATTCAGTCCATGCCACTACAACTGCTACTGGACCTCGTTAGAGACTTTTATTTCCTTTCAACTCATCAATTGATTCCTGGAATCATTTTCTTTCCCTATTTGTATCATCCACACCCTCCACATCTTTATGCCAATTCCTTTTGCCTCATTTTCCTGATAATCCTTCCCGACAACCTCCCATCTCCATCTATCAGGTAATCTAAACATTTTTCTTAGGTTTTTCACTTCCAACTGTACCTGAATCCTAAACTATGATCAGGATTTTCTCCAATTCCCCAACATTAGCCTGCCTAAACTCTCACCTTTCCCTTCTTGTCTCCTAATACTCCCTCATTCTTATCCTCTTCATAGAGAAGCTATCAGAAGGGAAATTCTCTAATATGTTTCCTGAAGCTCAGTGAAGGCTCCAAACTTTCGTTCCTCTTCTTGGTCTCAGGAAGTGATGTTCCTTTTTGTTCAGAGCATATCCCTTCACCTCTGCCTGATCTCATACCATTTCTTTTTCTCTGGGATCTTGTCTCACTAGGAATCTTTCCTCTTTCTTCTGCATCTTTCAAGGACATTTTATCTACTGGTCTCTTCCCCCTTTCCTTCCTAAAAAACTGCTTCCTTGACTCCATATCTCCCTCTGGATATTGTCTGACGTTTTCCCTGCATTTTTCATCCAAGCTTCTGGAAGAGTCCCTTTCAAACTCATAGCTATTTTGTTTCTCCCTCTACTATACCAGTATGAAACTGTACTCTCTGAAGTCCCCACTTTCTAACTGTAAAATCCAATGGGCACTATTTAGTCTTTATCTTACAGAAGCCCTAGCTACATCTTAAATCATTGCCCACTTTATCCTTCTTGAAATTTCCTCCCTTCTTGGCTTTCTTGAAATCACTCTGCTTGTGATGTCACAGCCAGAAGGTTGAATGTGGGCATGATGTGGGGCAGATAGCTGGATCCAGCCTTTATCCTGCTTGGTGCTGTCTCTTGCCCCCAAACAGTGCCAACTCTAATGACTTTTGGTTGGCTCTTGGCTCTACTGCCCCATATAGGACTACGTCAGATTCTAGTGGCTTCCATTTTATTGCTGATCTGGGCCAGGCTCAGAAGGGCCTATGCCGTTTGTTGAAGTGTATGTCCCTGGAGGATGGGAGAGTAAATGTTTAAAGGATCAGGTATGGCGGTCAGATGGGGGACCAGGCTGGAGTCTGTGTGGGCTAGGGAATGCAGGGGAACTAGGGTGGGGACTGGGATGACAAGGGAGCCTTTGCATCTGGAGGGCCTCGAAGTCAGAGCTGTTCAGGATGGTTTCTTGGAGGACAGGCATGTCTGCAAATGTCACATATTCTGCTCCTGGGGGTAGAAACCAGTTCAGGCATTGGATTTGGGGAGTGAGAAAATACAGTAGTCCTGGAGGGGACAGTTAAGGTGCCTTTCTGCCCAGCCTCCTGACTACAGATGCTGGGCTGGCCCCCTGTCCCAGATTGCATCCTTACCATGAGGTCTCCCTCCTCGTCGGCGTGTCTCCTGGGTCTCAAAGAAAGTCTCATGTTCCTCCCAGGGCCAGTCACAAGCGGCACAGAGGAAATTAGACTCAAAATTGTTGCAGCCACAACCTGAGACAAAAGGACAGCCCAGGAGAATATAGAGAATGGAGAGGCATCTCCATGGGCTGACTACATTCTCAGCTCTTCCTTACCCACCAAACACCAAACAAGTATCTTTTTTATCAGCTCCCCACTCTCCTCCCCAAACTATTTGCATCCTATACTCACTTCTTCCCACCCAATACTCCCCTGCATTAGAAGTTACCACGATGCCTGCAGGGATGAGTTCCAGTGGCTGCATGCTCTTCATGGCTATGTTTGCAGCGACATTGAGCCCTCCAGGCCTTGGGATCAAAAGTGGCTCGTCTCTTGAGCCAGAATTCACCCACCTCTTCTGGGCGTGATGGGATGAAGCAGAACATGAGGCAGCGGCACTGACTCACATTGCAGGGCACAGTTATGTCTATGGGACAAGGATGGGTGGTAGGGTTGGATGAGCACCTGACAGGGCCTGGCCTGCCCATGCCAAATCCTCCCCATATTAACACACACACACACACACACACACACACACACACACACAGTTTCACATATCCCAAGACATGATGACAGAGTTGTCCCTCCATACCTGACAAAGGCTGGTCACTTCTCCCCTACCTGAGATAATGTGGTGCTCTCTCAGTAAGTGTCCACAAAAGCACTTGGACTCATCCCCAATCAGGAAGCAGTCCCATAGGTAATGGGGACAGCGCCAACCAATGTAGAGACCTATAAATGGTGAATAATAGGGAATTGTGGAAGGAATGAATAATATGGAAAAGTGAGAAAGAAAAAAAAATCCTAAGCTCTCCCAGATATTTTGACCTATTTCGTGGGGTCAGGGTGGAGCTTCACCTCTACCCCAGGTATGTTTATCTCCACCCCACAGTCCTCACAGCTACCCCATTGACTTTTTCCCTCAAGGTTTTCTGATCATCCCATGTCTTCAATTCCCTTCCTATCCCAGGATCAATTCTATATGAGTCCGCCAGAGATGACTGAAGAGTCTTCAGTTTCTGAGCAGGAAGATTACAGGTAAAATTTTGTTTGAAGGTGAACATGAATCTCACTGAGTTCTTTGTGACTGTGGGGTTTCTTTTCTCTTCCCCTCTTCACATTAGAACCCAGCTTTGCTTTGTTCCTTTGAAGTGTTAGACACTTAGAGGTGAGGAAGAGGAAACGTGGCCAGATATACAGTATGTGATAGGGATTGGTTCCTAAGGAGAATGGTTAGTGACAGACCCTGAAGAAGAGGAGGTGGTTGGGAACCCTTGGTACCAGGAAATAGAAGGAGGACTTCCCCTATCTTCTCTAGATTGGCTCCTTCATATGTCTCTTCTGTGTTCCTAGTGTTAAGGAACTAATACCCTCTTTGAGCCTGAGAAGGGCTGCCTGTTGCTCTCCAAGGCCCAGGAAAAGGGGGTAGGCCAGAAGTTATGGCTGTTGAAGACCAAGAATATGTTCTGAGACTAGGAAAGGAGACATAGAAAGGAAAGCAAGCTTAATAAATATCCCTGAGAGCAGGCACCAGCAGAAGGCTACAACCTTTGAGAGCCTGGTTTCAGCAGTGGGATCTGAAGCTTTCTGGCTTCATGGCCAGTCTCACCATGAGGCAAGAGTGGTGCTATGTCAACATGGTAGGAGAACCAGAGAGCACCTCCCACTCAGATTTTCTCATCCTTTGTTCTTCTAACCAAGAATTCTGCCTGAGTCCCCATGGAGTAGGACCTGAGGCTGCAGGACTCTTATTCCCATTTGAAGTTTCAACTGAAATTTCACCTCTTCCAAAAAGTTGCCCCTGATTTCCCTTGTCTGTCTAGGACCCATTCCACAGCTTCTTGTGTTATTCCTACCATGATTCCCATTAGTGTGTGAGCTCCTTAAGGGTAATACCTGTCTTTTCATACACATTTCTATTCCTAGCACAGGGCCTGGCATGAAATAGGTACTCAGAGAACACAGACTGCCTGACTGTGTGAGCAATTCTAGGCATAAACCTGAAGTTCCACAAGGAAAAAGAATTGGCATGCTTTGTTTTTAACTCTGGCCAGGGTCACAATCCACAAATTTGTGCCTCAGGCCAGGTTTCCTAGTCTTACCCATAGCTTCTTAGGACCTAAAACCTGTTCAGATGCGTCTTTTGGCTTGGCTGATTCTGTCTTGATGCTTACAGCTTGTAGTACCAATGCCCTATTACACCAAGAAAGCTTGGTTGAGGCAGTGTCACAATGGAAATGGGTGGGAGCCAGGATTCCACCAGAGGAATCCTGAACCCTGTCTGGAGTAACAGGACACAGTGGATAAGCAGGTGATGTACAGAAGTACAGAACAAGGGTCTGTGCCCATAGATCAAGGCTTGGCCTGAGATATGGAATTACCTGGTTATCTTTATATGTTAGGCCTTATTTCCATCTTAAGGGAGAGGAAGTATGAAAGACTTTTAGTGATTCTGAGTTGCCCTCAGGATATAATTCCAACTCTTTAGCTGGGCACAGAAATGCCTGCATAATTCTTCCCTTCCAAAGCTGAGCTGGGTTACTCCCCGTCAAAAACACTATTTGCCAGGTATAATATACTGCTGCTGTTCCTTAAGCTGCCTTGTCATGTCTCACCTTACTCTTTTCTTGACTTGGCCGCCTCTCCTTACTATCTTACAGATATCAATTGAGAAATCTTTCCTCGTAAGACATTGTTCCTTTACTACCAAAGATTGGGTGTCCCTCTTCTCTACCCCTGCAGCATTCTTGGTATAGAAATTATTAAAGTGAATTATAATTGTCCTTATTGGTGTCACTTATTAGAGTGCAAATTAGTTTTTTGGACTCTAATGAGGAATTTTGTTTTTGAAACTTTTCCAATCCCACCACCTCCACAGCTAGGCTCGTACTGGCACATAGTTGGTGCACAAATATTTGTTGAAATAATTAAAAAAAGCTTACATTTGACATTTATCAACATGTTACGTGTACTGTCATGTAGTCATTACTCTCTAGGGACTGAAGATACCCAGTATTAAAAGGGGGCCCCAAATATCTTTGATCAGGATTAAATTACACTTCCTGTTTCAATAGGAAAATGAAGGCATTCAATTTAGAAGAAGAAATGAGAAGAAGGTAGTAGACAAGAGTGTCTAAGAAGGGAAACTAACAAATCCTATATTTGCAAGAAAATAAGCAAGAGTAACAGAAGATATTAAAATAAGCAAAAAACAAAACAAAACCTGTCTCAATGCCTGAAATAAACTGAGAAGCAAATTAGATCATTGTGACTTCATTGGCTAGAGGTAGAGTGGGGAGGGATCCTGCATGGGAATGGGGAAAGTAAATTACACAGAGAAGGGATAAGGATATGGAATTACCTGGTTATCTTTATATCTTAAGCCTTATTTCCATCTTAAGTAGAAAGGAAGTATGAAAGACCAACATAAATGTAGTGACATATATAAATTTATTCTAGAAATCTCAGAATCTTCTCATCAGGTCAGGGTGGCCCTCTTACTGAAGTCAGTAATCCCTATAGATATGAAGTTCAATAACACAGGTAGACATTGTTAAACACAGGATGGTATGTGTTTACACAGCTCGTCTGCACACCCATTACAGAGATACTCAGAGCATGCTGCTAACAGCACAGTTAAAGGTACTAGCTCTGGACTGAGACTTAGATTCAACAGGGCTAGAGGACACAGCTCTCCTCTTCGGTGGGGAGACTCAAAACTTTTGGATATACAAGTTATCATGGATTTCACAAGCAGGGATGGCAGCTTTTTTTTTTTTTTTTGTACCAGGGATTGAACCCAGGGGTGCTTAATCCCGGACCCACATCCATAGCTCCCTCCCTTTTTTTGGGGTATCTGGAATTGAACTCAGGGGCACTCAATCACTGAGCTACATCCCCATCCCTATTTTGTATTTTACTTAGAGACAGGGCCTCATTGAGTTGCTTAGCACCTTGCTTTTGCTGGGGCTGGCTTTTAACTCATGATCCTCCTGCCTCAGCCTCCTGAGCCGCTGGGATTATAGGCATGTGCCATGTGCCCAGCCTCCCAGCCCTTTTTATGTTTTATTTTGAGACAGGGTCTTATCTTTCTGTGTTGACAGCCACACTAAGTTGAGTCTGACTTTGAACCTGTGATCCTCCTGAGCTGCTGGATTATAATCATAAGCCACCACACCGTGTGAGCAATTCTAGGCATAAACCTGAAGTTCCACAAGGAAAAAGAATTGGCATGCTGCTTTGGGATGACAGCTTTTAATTGAGTTGCACCAAAGAGGCTAATGGTTTTTGCCATATCAGAACAACAAGTCTCCTGGAGACTGACCATGGTCCTGGGCCATGTCTGCCTTAGGATCTGTCTGGTACAGGCTACCTGGATCTGGGCCCTAGATCTTGGGCTGGCCTCTGGCCCTTCTGTTTTTAATACATTTATTAAAATTATGATGGGCCATCTGTGCCTGCCTGGACTTTGTATGAATATTCTCACCTTTTGTCAGACCCACACTGCTATTTCTTGGCTTACCCGCTTGCTCCCCTTCCAGATTCCAGGCAGAATGGCATGGCTGTTTCCACAAGGGGCAGCTATCTATGGAATGGGCAGGTTTCCAGATCCTATTGGATTGGAAGATATCCATGGGCCCTCTTACAGGCCTCTGAAAGGCCACCTAGGCTCACCTGTCTGGATAGCATTCAGGGATGCATCCTTCTCCCATTGGAAAAGATGATTCAACTGAGCACCAGACTTCTCCCTCTCCATTTCCTTAGTCAGGTCCATCAGCTCTGCCTGCTTAGCAGGGACCACTGGGCTGCCTATGTAACCTGGGAAGGAAGGGGATGAGTAACCAGGTGGAAGTGAGAAGTCCCTAAAATTAAGAGGAAGGGCCATGTCCAAGAGGAACACAGTCCTCTCCTTCTGGAGTAGGTCAAGGACAGTAGACAGTGATGAGAACAGGGGAAAGGGCAGGAGCAATTACGGCCAACTCCTTTCTTCTCCTTTTTCTTGCCCAGCTGGTGTTCAGGATGGGCTGTCTGAGCAGTGATGTCATTGGTATCCATTCCCTCCTTGTTCTCCCCTGAATCTTCCTTCTGCATGGTAGATGTATCCATGTGGTTCTGGGCTGAAGGGCCTGAAACGAAGTGCTTTGGAAAAAGCTCCTGGGAGGATGTCCTTGTCCATGAGACCTCAGTGGAAGAAGACTCAGAGAGGTCATCATCGCTCAATGTATCAGAGGAAGAGAGCTGGTTTACTGGTGAGGACTGAAAAGCAATATGCTTCTCTGGTACTTCAGAATTGTGAGTCTCAAAGGTAGGGGCTTCCAAAGGGACCATGGAGGCTGACTCTTTTAAAGAGGTTACATAGATAGAAGGCTCCAAAGGATTTTCAGAGGTATGGGGCTCTAAAAGGGTCTTGAAAGTGGATTTATCTAAAGGGGGTTCAGAGACAGAATGCTCTAAAAGGCTCTCAGAGGCCTGGGCCTCTAAAGGGATCTGGGAGATGGAAGGCTCCAAGGTAGTTTCAGAGAGGGGGGGCTCCTGTAAATCTTCAGTAGAGGGGTCCTTGGAAGAGGGGTGTTTCTTGGCATCCATGGTGGTATGAGGCTCTTCTGTGACCTTGTCTGCTTCAATCTAATGGTAGAATAAGGTACAGGCTTCGTTAGTTTTAGACTGGAGGGTCTACAAGTCAGGACAGAGAGCATAGGGTTCACAGGGTTGGGGGCGGGCGTGTTATGGAATTAGGAGAAGATTCTCAGTACATGTGAGACACAAGAAGAAAACAAAAAGAGTGTCTCCAATCCCAATTGATTCAAATGTATGAATTGCCAAGATCATTGTAATGTCATGTGTAGCTAATTAAAAAAAAAAAGAGTGTCTCCAGGTATAATGCCAGGAGGTTCTCTCATGTGGCAAACATGATGAGGCATGCTGCTAATGGGAGGTTAGGGAGCTGAAACTTAAAAGTTTGAAAGGCCGAAGTAGGGCTGGGGATGTGGCTCAAGTGGTAGTGCACTCACCTAGCATGTGTGAGGCACTGGGTTCAATTCTCAGCACCACATAAAAATGAAATAAAGATATTGTATCCACATAAAAAACTAAAAAAATAAATACTTTAAAAAAAAAAAAAAGAAAGGCCGAAGTAGTCAGAATCCCATCAGTAGATGGTAGCAGAGGACCATCCCTAGGAGGGAGTCTGAACATAGCTATTTGGCCAGTCCAAGAGTTGGGTCCTAGGTATGTCTTTGGCCCCTGGAGGTCAAGCTATGGCATTCCAGAGATTGAGAATATCAAGCCAAAGTTGGGGTTGGCTCTCAAGAGTGAAGAGTATGCCATGATGCCTAAGGCAGGGAGGCCCTGTCTGTAGTCTGGTTTTGTTTAGGGACCACATATACCCTCTCTTGATGACGTCATTTATATTTAAGGATTCAACTACTTCTAGCTGTGTGCTGCTGACTTCTAAGTCCATATTTCCAGAGTAGATCCTCTCTAGACTCTTGTATTTCACACTCACCCAACTGCCCATGGGACATTTCTAAATGGATGTCCCAGAGACATCAAATTGAACTCTGAAAATTATCCTAGTCTTCTTTTTGCTAAGTCCTGATCTTCAAATAGGTAATGAGAACTGCATTTCTATTTTCTAAAAAGTCTTGATACGCATTCTCTCCTTTGCTATTCCTCCAATTTTATTCATGTTCTCATTATTTTCTGCCTGAATTGTGTAATAACTTTGCCTCTGTACTGCCACCCTCAGCATATTAATTCTTTTTTTATTGGTTGTTCAAAACATTACAAAGCTCTTGACATATCATATTTCATACATTAGATTCAAGTGGGTTATGAACTCCCATTTTTACCCCAAATATAGATTGCAGAATCACATCGGTTACACATCCACATTTTTACATAATGCCATATTAGTAACTGTTGTATTCTGCTACCTTTCCTATCCTCTACTATCCCCCCAGCATATTAATTCATTTACCCATTATTTTATTCATTTATGTAATTTACACTTTTTGCAAAGAGCCTGATCTTATGCTTTTACTCAAGCACTGTACTAAGCCTTGGATTCAGCTGAGTTTGGGAGAGACAAGTCAACTAACAATGACAAGGAATAATTGATATTATGCTGGGGTAAGTATAGGATGCTATGGGGCTGTCTAATTCCTCCTGGAAGGAGGCCCCAGATAGGTAGTCCTTCTTCCTGACCCAATCAACACAAACCCAACATTAGTCTTGCCTTGCTTAAAAGCATTCAATGACTCAGTTTAAATTTGGATTAAGTCCAAATTTCTTTGCCGTTGACATTCAAGGTCTGTTATCATTTGCGACACTACTGAGAATTCCTGCCTTTACTTTCTCTGCTCTCTACTTTTTGCCTTGCTCCAGAGACACTAGATATATCACTTCTTAAACTCATTGGGTGGGTGCAGTGGCACATGACTGTAATCCCAGGAGTTTGGGAGGCTGAGGCAGGAGAATTGCGAGTTGAAAGCCAGCCTCAGCAACTTAGAGAGGCCCTAAGTAATTCAGAGACACCCTGTTTCTAAATACAATAAAAAAAAAAGGGCTGGGGATGTGGCTTAGTGGTTAAACACCCCTTGGTTCAATCCTCAGTACCAAAAGACAAAAAACAAAACAAAAACAAACAACAACACAACAAAAAACCCATAATCCATCAGAGCCTTTCCAAAGGAAAGTTTGGGACGGGAAGTAGTGACAGAGGTAGGGTGATAAGTGGGAAGAGGCTCAAAGTCACTTAGAGGGAAAAGTAGCCGGAGGCTGAAGAACTAAAGAATGGGAGGAAAGGAAAGGGAACCAGAGGGGGAGGAGGGACTGAGGGATGGGGAGGAGAAGGATGAAAAGTAGAAGGTGGCAGGACAGGTATTAGGAGGGGACGAGGTTGAAGGTTTGGGTGGGAAGAACCATTGGAGAAACTACATACCTTTGGGCTTTGGCTTGGTTGTTGTCCTTAGATCAGGAAATTATGGTAGATTGAAGAGCAAAGTGTCGATCCCAAGAGAGGAGATGATCTTGGTTGTGGATGAGCTCGGCTTCAGGAGGTGAAAAGTGAAAGGCCTTGCTTGAAAGTCTATTGTTTGGGGAGACTTGAACATCCGCAGACCTTCGCAAAGGGGCTCTTAACCTTACCTGGGGAGTGGCGATAAGGAAGAGGGGGTCCAGGGTCAAGGAGAGGGGATTGACTGAAACCCCTAGAATCCGGGCCGGGAGAGGAGGGATCGGTCACCAGGACAACCGGAACGCCCAGTATTCTCCCTGCCAAATAGCAGTCTAAACATCTTTCTCGAGGCTGCTCTTTCCTGAGGGGACTACCTTGGACCTGCTAAGGGGGTTTTCAGCGAGTCTCTAGGTAGGAAGTGTCGATATTGTGGGTACAACCGTGGGGAGTCTGGATTTGTGAGGGTCCCTCTAGGGTTCCTGTGAGATACCTGTGAGGTGTTCAGTGGGGGCTGTGAGGATCTGAGGGGTCAACGGGCTCAGTTGTATGAGCGAGAAGGGAAGGGTCTCAGGTGAATTGGGCTGGGCGGAGTCTGTTCTCGAAACCCAGCAGGACTAAGTTAGAGACCAGTAGAATTGGTCAGGGGGCGGGCTTTATTGAGAGGGACCAATCGGACTGGGACAGGGGCGGAGCGTCATACGACGTCAGGCCCAGGCCGCCGCCGCGGGGCCTGGTTATCGCCGGTTCAGCGCAGCCCGGAGTCGCCCAGGCCTGAACTCCTACCCAGGTCCCAGACCCCGGCCCCAGGCCCTCGAGGACACCGGAGGCCACCCCTAGGGGGTGGGGAACGGAGCCGCGGGTCAGCTCTGCGAGCGTCCCGCATTGGCCAGTCCGGCCCCGCCCCCGCCCCGGGCCATGGCCCAGCCCTTATCCCGGCCCCTCATCCTATCCCAATCCCGGTCTTGGCCTCCGGCCCCGCCCTCGCCCCATTTCCCAAATCTGTCCCAACCCCGGTCTGGGTCCCAGCGAATGCCAAGGTCCGGGTCCCAATCCAGGGCCCCCCTCCAGTCCCAGTCCTTGTCTCTGGCCTGGCTCCCATCCCGGCCTCGGCTCTTGTTTCACCCTCTGTCACAAATTCTAGCCCAGCCTTTGCCCCCACCCCATTCCCAGGGTTCGCTTAAGTCCCTGACCCAACCTCGGCCCTTGCTCAGGTCCCCACCACAGTCCCACCTTCCATCACACCCGCTGCCCTTATTCAAGCCCCAGTGCTCAGCTCAGCCCAATCCATTATCTCAGCCTTTGCCCTCATCTCTGTGTTTACCCAAGTCTCTCCCGCTGGCCCCCCGCCCCTCTCATACTCTGCCCCTCTCCCAGCCTCGACTCAGGTCTGGGCTCCAGCTGCCGCCAGCCCTATTGCTGTTGTTGCTGTTCTCTGTCCTTGGTCCAGGGGCTGGTGAGTGCGGAAGCAGGAAAAATTGAGGCAAGGATGGGGTTCCAGTAGGGCTGGGTGGGCTGGGGAGAGATTCAGGAGAGATGGGACCTGGGGAGCTAGATCTCTGGGGAAGAAGTGGGGAGAAATAGGGAGGAGAGAGGGTTTATACAACAGAGGAATTGGCAGCATCAAGAGTGGAACTGGGTTTGAGACTCAGCAAGTGGCTAAGAGTCCCTAGATCAGAGACTTAAAGATTTTCTCTGCTGGTGTGTCCATCTTGACCCCCCTTGATTCTGGCTTTTCCAAGGAAGTCTTGAGGGCTTTGCTCCTCCTTCTGTCAAAGTTTGATAGGGGAAGACATAGCCTTGTATCAGAAGCCTCTAGTCCACTCTGAGAAGATATGGCCTAAATCTTTGAGATATTGGATATGCTTAGTGCAGAGTATTGAAGATAACATGTAGCAAATAGATGGACCTAGATTAGTTGCCAATATAATGAACTTTCTTCTTGTAGTGAGTCTTTTTTCCAAACAAGCTTGATTTGCCTAGAAATAATTCTTGATAGTTTTAGAGCATGGTTGAAACCCAGAGGCTGTTTTACAGATGGGGAAACTGAGGCTCAGTGAGGGAGCAATTTTTAAAGGTCATATCATTTATAAATGGTGCTGGGGCTAGAAAAAGATTTCCTAAATCCTGTCCTTACTAGTGTTTCCCTCTTCCCACCCCATTGCAATGTACACTGAATAGGAAACAAGATGAAGTAAGGAAAGGTTCAAAGTACAACCTCTCTTCTCCCCAGTCTGCCTACAAAGGGGCTTCATCAGTGAACTGTTTATTATTTATCAACTGTCAACCTGGGGCCACCATCTAGCCCAGAAAGTAACTTGGCTACTAAGAGGTCCAGCTTCTTAGTGAGTGGAATGAGGGAGGAAGAAGGGGTCCTGGCCTAGGGGATTTGCCATATCAGTGGCTCCATAATGAAATGACTGTAGTCTTCATGGCCTCAGCTTCTAACTACCTTCTAACTACCTCTGCTGGATGATGGCACTCTAGATCACATGGAGATGTGCCTAGTGGAATCTTTGGCAATAACAGCTAACAGAACAGCTGTGGGTAAATGTGGGTTTCATTGAGCTCTGTGGGTCTGATTTAGTGTATAGACTTGAGGAGATCAATGCAAGCCAGAGGTCACAGACCCTGCAGAGATGCCTGCACATTTATATGCTGTGTGTTAACTGAGGGATCTGTAAGAATATTGGCATGTGCAGTGTTTGTACATGTTTGTGTGTTAATGAGTATAACCACAGGTTTTTGTGGGGTACATGTAACCCAAGTGTCCTCAGAATACCTATGTTTTTGTGTGAGCATGAGGGGACATGTGGTTCATGCATAAACCTCTTCATCTCTATCTGCTGCTTGTACAGACTTATCACTGAAGTGTTACCTTTAGAAGTAGATGGTTCCTAGGTTGAAGACAGTGTTCACAATATGTAGAACTAATCCACTGGTCTCCAGCCCATCTCCTAGAAGGAAGGAATCATTGAGGAAGATGGGGTTCAGTGTTGATTGTTACATTTGGCAAGTTGGGCACTCAGCAGAGTCAGCAGCCCATCAGCTTTTCAGTTTTGATGAGGGAACCCATACTGGTTAGTTAGCCTAATCCATAGCTTCCATCCCTGCCACCAGAGTTTCTTTGTTCATGAGCCCACTGGGCTGGCTAGGGGAGGAGGGAGACTGCAAGCCACAGTGTATAGGGCTGAAAGTTGTGGATAAAAATATGATTGCCCAGAAGCAGGTTCACTGCTTTGGGGAGAATTATAATGAAACTGAAAAAGAATTCCAAATAGGCCCAAAAGCAGGTGGGGCTTCCCTTAGTACTGTTATTAGCCAGTGCCTTGACAATTGTGACCTGGCATTCATGGGTGCTCTGTGACCTTCTTTGTTTGAAGAGAAACTGTCAGTGTCATAGGATCATCATAGTATAGGACTGCACAAATTCTTATTGTTGATTTCTGGATCTTCTGATTCTGTCTCTGATCTTTGGGTCATTCCTTCGGTTTAGCTGACTCTGGTTGATAACCTGGGCATGCCTTGTCATTTTGAGAAATGATCTTTTGGTGAGGTGTGGT